TAGGCTATTTCTGGAAAGGCAGAGAGCACAAAATTTTTGCAGAAAGACAAACCTCAGAATCATAATAGAGAAGGCACTGTTCATCTCTCACATTTTGCTAGATATTTATTCACCAGTTAAGGCCTTCATTCAAAGCAGTTAAACACATCCTTAGTCAGAACCCCAATGCTATAGCCTTAATCAATGTAGTCTGACATTAATTTAAGTGATTTACCAGCTTGAAAAGCCAAGTCAGGCTTTCTCCAACTTGTAATAAAATCTTAACTCATCATAAACAATCTACTGCTGTTTGGATCTAAGTGATGTCTGCTGTAAAAAAACAAACTCTGAAAGTTAATAATGGACTATCAGTTTGGTTGTGTAGGTTAAAACAAGGATGTGTATTAAATACGAATGCTCTGCTACAAGAGAAAGCTGAGCAGCGGTATCATAATTTTGTTTTCAACAGTTTGCTGAGTGGAATTATGTAGGTTGTTTTTTTTTCCCCAACAGCTCTGTGCTGGAAGCAATTTAAGGGATTTCAGGTTTGCCATGAAGTGTTAATTAATCCTGCATGTCTTGCTGAGCACCTGAACGAGCAATGGCTATGAATAATGTAACTGTACAGGAGTGGATATTTTAATTTGGGCAGTAGCTACCTTAAAAGAAGAAAGTACTGCACACAGAACAGCTTCAAAAGGAGGCTTAAATAATTTCTGTTCATTTTGGGAGAAAGAGTGAAGTCCTTCTGGCAATAATTTCTCAACCTAGAAAGATCTGTAACCACCAGATCAATGCATGAGACCAGGCTTTGCAGGTTCACTTGTCCCAAGAATGTTGTCTGGCTCACATACAACCCCTCCCTGCTCTAACAAGATAGGCAGGGGAAGGGATTGGGTTTTGTCCAGATTTGATTTAGAAATTAGTACTGAACTACTCCATACCACAAAGCCCAAACCTATTCCAGTCATGCCCCATTCTGCCCCGAATCTGTAATATTCATGGAAATATTATACTCAGGGAGGGAGTATTGATAGCTGCTGAGCCAGATTTCTCAGGAAGGTGATCTTTGCCCCTCAAAGCCTGTGGGGCTTCACATGGAATTTAAGCCTTGAATTCCTTTTTCTTTTGATCTGGTGCCAAGCCTGTGTCTCCAGTGGCTGTAGTCTTTGATTCAGCAGGGTACTGAAGCATAATAAATGAACACTTTTTTTTGCTCTGGATACACTCCTGGGCTGGCACTTAAGCATACGTCTCATGGAAATGATGCCTCTGTAACAGCCATTTGTTGTAAAATACCTGTTCTTTTTGTTCTTGTCTGTTCTCTTCACTTACCCTCTCACCCCTGTTATTCTAATATGCGATGTTGTAGTAATGAAATACAGATTCACCCAAGCTAACACTTGGATAACAATTTTTTAAATTTTATTTTTTAATGGCCTTGTTGACATTTTCTAACTGTATCACAGAGAACTGTGCCTAAGGCTTGTATCAGCTGAGCAGCCAACCTTTCTCATCAAGGAATGCTACTGAAAGGACAAGGAATGCAAATCTGCCAAGCATTGAAGAATTACAGTCACAGACGGGAGGCTGTCTTCACAGCTATGTTACCACCCACATAGACATTTAGATGCTAAGTTACACTTCAGAAGAACCTTTGCAAAAATTTTTAGGTTAGCTATACAAAAACCCCACTTCTTTAACTCCCTTCATCACTAGCATTGTATCATGAACACTACAAGACAAGAGACACAGGTCATCAGCATGGGCAAAATGCTGAACAGTTGTTGGTCTTCTGCTTTGTGTCCTCACCCAGTAAGCAACAGGTAGACCTCAAAGCTAATGCCTGACTCAGGGCCTCAGCACTAATAGCAGCATAAATGTGCTTTTGGTCATACAAAAGCTGACTTCTCTGTCTGTCTGAAGTTCCAGGTAAGTCCCATAAAGCACAGAGGGGTTTTCCACAGTTTTTTTAAGTCCTGCATTTCAAAATAATTTGTGATCCAGCTTTTTTTTTTTCTTTTGGGTGTTGAGGGGAGGTGGGATGCACACTTAAGGGTCACATGCATTACGGCGGTTGTACATCTCCTAATGTGGTACATGCACATGAGATTCTGATGGGAATCAGAGCCTGTCTAGGTGATAAGAAAATACACACAGCCTGTGATTACTGGGTTCCTACAGTAAGCAAACAAAATATCTGAAATATCCTATGCACATCAAAATGCACCACTGTTCCAGTAAGCGCCACTCACAAAGGGAATGTAATTCTAGTGAGACAAAGTGCATGGTGATGTGTCACAGGGACAACAGTTAGGACTCTGGTTTCAAATTGGTGTGAGATCAGCCTTTTTGAGAGCAAGCAATGGATAGGGCTATTTTTGTTCTTTTCCCAAGACAGAAGCATTACCCAATAAAAGAAAATGTACTAGAATACAACATATACTATTTTGGCTATTCAGTTCTTCTAATGGTGAAACTTTTCAAAACATATCTGTCTTTAAAGAGTCCAGTTCTAGCTTTGAAGAACCATATGGGGGCTGGACTCGATGGTCTTTATAGATCCCTTCCAGCTTGAGATATTCTATGATTTGAAGGCACTATGGTGTTAGATGCTTTTTTGGCTATATATGAATTCATGAAAACAAACTGTGAAGAAATACACAGAGCAAGGAAACTTGAACACACAACTTGTGCTGTTGTAAGCACCTTCAAAAAACTCCCTATGAAGCCCATGGCCAGTTTCAGACATCTAGGATGTTCCCACATATCCAAGGCTATTGCTCCTTCTCAAGCCAACTTATTTCTTCCTTCATTCAATTAAATAGAGTTACATGACTGCATTGAGCTGCTCTTTCTTACTAAGCTCCTTCTCTGAGAATTGTTTCAGATACCTGTCTGGCTTGTCTCACTTTAGTAACAAGGAATCGTGAAGTTTTCCAATAAACAATTGAAATCTCACGATGGGTCTTGCAGCTTAGGACCTGTCATTGGAATGCCTGTTTTGAGACCCAAATGCTTTCTATGAACCTGGAACAAAAGCACTTTAAAATACTGATTTACATCATATACATGAGAAGCATTGGCTGTTGTAATCCATAGTGTCTGATAATAATAATTTCTGCTGTTTCAATTGGATCATTAGCTATTTCATTCAAGACAGCCAGCATGGCTTCACCAAGGGCAGGTCCTGCCTGACCAACCCAGTAGCCTTCTGAGATGGACTGACTGCATTGGTGGACAAGGGAAAAGTAACAGGTGTCATCTACTTGGATTTCTGTAAGGCTTTTGACGTGGACCCCCACAACATCCTTCTCCATAAATTGGAGAGATATAGATTTGATGGCTGAACTGTCTGGAGGATGAGGTATTGGTTGGTCACATCTAGACAGTAGTAGTCAATGGCTGAATGTCCAGATAGAGATGGGTGAAAAGTGGTGCCCTTCAGAGGTCTGTACTGTGACCAGGACTGTTGAATATCTCCAGCAATGACACAGACAGTGGGACTAAGTGCACCCTCAGCAAGTTTGCAGATGATACTAATCTGAGTAGTGCGGTCGACATGCCTGAGGCATGGGATGCCGTCCAGAGGGACCTGGACAAGCTTGAGAAATGAGCCCATGTGAACCTCATGAGGTTCACCAAGGACAAGAGTAGGGTCCTGCACCTGGACTGGGGCAACCCCCGGTACCAGTACAGGCTGGGGGTTGAAGGGATTGAGAATGGCCCTGACAAGAAGGACTTGGGCATACTTGTTGATGAAAAGCTGGACATGAGCCACTAATGTGCCCTCGCAGCCCAGCAAGCCAGTCATATCTTGGGCTGCATCACAGGAAGCATGGCCAGAAAGTCGAGGGAGAAGATTCTGCCCCTCTGCTCTGCTCTGGTGGGACCCCACCTGGAGTCCTGCGTCCACCTCTGGAGCCCTCGGCACAGGAAAGACATGGAGTTGTTGGAGCTGGTCCAGAGGAGGCCGCAAACATGGTCAGATGGCTGGAGCACTTCTCCTGTGAGGAAAGGTTGAGTTGGGGTGGTTCAGCCTGGGGAACAAAAGGCTCTGGGAGGACTTTATTTCAGCCTTTCAGTATTGAAAGAGGGACTATAACAAAGAGGAGGACAGGCTTTTAGCAGGGCCTATTGTGATAGAAAAAGGGGTAATGGTTTTAAACTAAAAGAATGTAGATTTAGATATAAGGACAAAATTTTTTAGAATGAGGGTGGTGAAACACTGGAACAGGTTGCCCAGAGATGTGGCAGATGCCCATCCCTGGAAGTGTTCAAGGCCAGGCTGGATGGGTCTCTGAGCAACCTGGTCTAGTTGAATATGTCCCTGCTCATTGCAGGGTGGTTGGAATAGATGACCTTTAAAGATCCTTTCCAATCCAAACCATTCTATGATTCTATAAGACAATCTGCTGTCAGAGGTACAGGAGGTAAAAAATCAATTCTGATCTGACAAGAGAATTTTGGATCTTTGAGGAGCTACATGCCACGGGGTTCATCAGTTCTAACACAATTATGAGACATTTCCAGGTTCTCCCTCAGGTGAGGTAGCTGGGGTTCATTCCACTTCTGACAGCCAGGAGTAAGGCTTGTTATCAATTCTCTCCAAATAGTTATCTCAAAGGCCCAGCCTGAATTAGCCTTTGAAGAATTATTTAAGATTATTAAACCAGAATTGAAAATAGAGAAAAAAAATTTTAATATTTTTTAAATGCCAATTTTTTCCACCGGTTATTCAACAATGAATTATAGAATCCAGAGGGAGACAAAGTTGTGAGTTCAGAGTATTTTCCTGTGTTGTGGCTTATGAGAATGTGCAGTGTTCTGCAGCCATGAACTGTTTTTTAAGTTGACAGCATCAGCCTGCAATAGAAGCACAAAAAGAATGGAAGCAGAATAATAATTTTCCCTATGCACCGGCACATGTTGCTTCATGACAGCCACTTCTGCAAGTATTTTAGTGGGATAAGGCTGAGGCAGAGGCAGTAACATAATGAAAAGGGCTGTGGTAACTAGGGATGGGACTGGACATACAGATGACGCACGGTATCACTGCGGTAACTGAGATGTGTTGGGACTGCGATATGTGTCACGATGGACAGGTACAAGCACTCCAGCAGAGGCCAGTAGGAATGAGGAGGAGGGATGGCCCTCCACATGAGGGAGCAGCTGGGGTGCATGGGTCTATTCTATGGGATGGGTGACAGTCAAGCTAGAGTGAGGCAGTCAGGGCTGGGGTAGAGGGCAGGGACAGGGGTGACACAGTGCGGTGGGCGTAGGCTGTTACTGACCTCCTGGCCGGGAGAAGAGGACAAAGAACATGAGAACATCTCTGGTCACCCACCCCTGTTCTCCTGGTGGACTTCAACCTCCCTGAACTTGGCTGTAAGGGAAATGCAGTGGGACATGAGGTCCTCGGGATATTTCTGGAGTGTATCAGGGATAACTTTGTGATATAGGTCCTGGAGGGGCCAAGCAGGGATGAGACAGTTTTGGACCCACTGGTCAGTAGCAAGAAAGAGCTGCTGGGGGAAGTGGTACTGGAGGGCAGCGTTGGCTGTAGGGACCATGAAAGAGTGATGGTCAAGATCTGGGGGAAAGTGAGGATTACAGAGTAGCAGAGGACAAATCTCAGACCTTAAGATAGCAAACTTTGGCATGTTCTGAAGGCAAAAGAAAGTAAGGGGGTGGGGAAGGTGTACAATGCAAGGGATGTTGGTTCAGATTTTCAAGGGCCTCAAGCAAAAGAGCAGATGTAACACTTTTCCATGGGACAGAAATTTTGGCATTCTGATAACTTCAGATGAAAAATTAAGTTACTATTTTGTATGGAGAGAAATGGAAAATCCTGTCACCAGTGTGAGATCTGTACTTTTTTATTTTGGAGCACATCCACCTGGAATTGTATCTCTTTATAATCTTATGCAGGAACATGGCAAGTAGATTTCAAGTACTTTTATTTCTTTGTTCCTGCCAGTAGGCTGAGCTCTCTGGTTAACTTACCTCTCCCATGACACACAGTCAGCCGGTGACTCCAATGGTGCATTGCATATCTCTGTCAGGAGGTGCATGAGGCACTTCAGAAATAGAGTAAACTGGACAGAGTCCTTACTGCTTGAAAAAGAAAGCGACACTTATTACAACCCCTGCAATTGTCCATGGTACTTTAAAAGACAGATGTAGTGTGAAAAAAGTTGAAAGGAAACATTTCAGGTGCAAGCAAAATAAAACTCCAAAATAAACAAAGTCTCAACACAATGTTTCCGTTCAGGTCAAACTGACAGATGAATATATTTTTCTGCTCAGTGAAATTCCAAATTTTGTAAAGGAAATTTCTTTTTTTTAATGAAAATGTATTTCCTGTTGATATTTTTTAGCTTATAGTTCCCAGATGGTCTTTATTAGATACTAATTTCCTAGAAAATATTCATGAGATACTGCTAACTCCCTTTGGTCATGCTGAAAATCTCATTGGAAAAAATTTAAGAATCATTTTGGTTTTACACATATACGTACTTGGCAGAAACATATATACCCCTAGGGACTGCATCTGTTCTGATTATGTTCGATTTATTCAAAATGATAATTGATGTTAGCCTTATCTGATGTCATTTATCTACATGTTTATGAGTTGTTGTACCTAATACAGATGATAGTCTCCTGTTCATTAATAATTCTTTGGAAAATATGGCTTCAGATCCAAGCTTTCAAGGATGGTGATAAAAGATGTGCTTTGGAAATGGGGCATTTCCTTAGGTTATTAGAGATTCATAAATATCAGTGTTCATGAATTCATAGATACAGAAGTTCAATGGCTTTGATTAATTTCTAATTTTTATAAGACAGCAACATTTCCAAGCCCATAGCTGACATGTACTGTGTAAAAATCATCTTGGCTTTCCTGCTCCAGCAACAGCTCATAACCCACTAGATTTCTTCCGGCCTTTAAACCAAAGCTGTCTTTCAGGGTCACAGTCTTTAATTCTATGTCTCTCCTTGAGCAGTTCACCAGAACAATACTCCACAAAATGGATCAATCTCATTCCCTCTCCCTACCACGGCTACCCCTGCCATGGAGGAGGAAAAGGGCTCCCATGGCATCCCCCTTTCCTTGGATCAACAGGTCTCTCCATGACAAATCAAAAGCTCCTCCAGTCTCTGAAGATCTTGCATAGTTATTAAGCAATGAAGCATTTTACTGAAAGGAAAGAGAATTAAATAAAAGCAGTAGTAAAACCCCATATTACGTTTTGCTGTGGAAGGATAGGACCTTTAAAGTCTGTTTTCTAATTAGAACATGTATCATCACACAAATAAACTTTAATTCATTGTTTAGGTTTGTCACTGTTTTGCTGCAAGATAACACAGGCAAGATTGCTGCAAATTTACCACAAATCCTCATCATTTCCCCTGAGTTTTATAGGGGTATATACACTTGAATTCAATGCAAACGATCCTACAAATTGGGAAAAGTGTAATTTTGCTTACATGCTTTCATGGCAATGCTTCTTTCCTCAAAAAAAAAGAACAAAGTAAAATTTCAAACAGAACCTTTTAGAGCTCCTTGCAGAACAAAGGCAATCAGGCTGTTATTCAATCTATAGTGAATTTTCAGGAACTAATAGGAAATAAGGATTATTTTACAAATTCTTAGCATACACCTAGCCCTACTGTTTCTTAAAATCTCTGTCATGATTATATTGTTTCCTCTCCAGCCTGAGAAAACCATTAAAGAAAAGGTAAAATTTTGTTGCAATAATGGAGCATTAGCTTTAAATAACTGAAAGTAATGGATTTGCTATCTGCTAGTCACAGCTGTCTGCTTAGCATGATCAGGGAGACCCAGCTGCTCCTTTCCATACATTAATATTTTGATCAATCACTTAGCTTTTGCTGATAACTGTCTCTTACACACGGAGTGGTTAATTTGAGATGTCTCTTAGGTCTGTCTTGATCTGGGAAAATGCAAGTAATTGGTGCTAAAATCACTAAACTTTGATGCAAGTAAAATATTTTTAGAAGTCATTTTATTTGGTTTTAAACAACTAAGTCAATTAGAACATCTTATTTTGTTTCAGATTAAGAAAAAAAGAAAGTTACACAGAAGCTTCCACCTTACTCACTGCAGAAACACATCACTCTGAGGTAGAAAACTTCCCTGTGTATTTTCAGGATTAACAAGTTGACCAGATCTGCACTTGTTGTAGTTAATGTTAAATGGCATGAAAGGACAACTTGCAACAAATGAGTCTCACTGAGCCCCTTGCTGAACAAAGGTTGTAGAATTTTGCTGTTCTAAGGAGTCTGAAAGATATTTCTTTTTACAAGAGTCTCCCCCAGATATACATGTCACAAAGAGGACTCGTAGCCCAGAGGATGTATGCAACTGAGACTTTAGCTTTAAGCTCTTTCACAGCCACTTTCCCTTCCCCTGATGCCTTTTCCTTTTCATGCACAAACAGATGCAAGACAGTGACATGAAGACCTTTATATTTTGAATATTCTTTAGAAATTGCCCAAAGGCAGAGTTCTATAGATTTTTACTTAACCTCTCTTAATTGTTGGGAATATGTGGATGTAATTTGATTGCCTCTGTAACAGAAGAGACACCTGAGAATCACAAAAGTTCACAGACTGAGAGAAAAGGTGAACGGGGAAAAAGGGTTTCTGCTGGATGTTTCTAAATAAAGTTTTCTCCCTCTCAACAATTACACACATGGAGAATTATGTAAATTAAACCCATTTTATGACACACATATTAATGGTACCCTAATTTGAAAATGAGATTTACCTGTAATTGTAAGCCAAATTAGGTGTAATCTGAGCAGCCTAAACAAAGAAAAACTCAAGACACACTGATTTGTCCTCATCATCTCTCCCAATGTGTGAGTAAAACAATCAGCTTGCAACTCTAGCTTTGATAAAGCTGCTGTGGCATCCCATGTACCTCTGCACTGCCCTGCTGTCCTGTGGAGTTAATTTTTCTCAAGCCTTCAATTTCTTCCTGTGTGGGAAACTATGGTCTGCAACAGCAGGTTAATTACAGGAAAAAAATTAAGCTGGTGCCTTCAATGACCAACCATTAGTTTGGCCTCACTGATGGGGCAAAATGAAAAAAAAAGAGGTGGAGGTGGGCACATCCCAGGATTTTAATCCTTCCCCTTTGATAATCTGTGTTTCAGCCTGGTCCTATAAGTGCAAAACAAACACTGTAAGATTGTACTTCTCCCACTGCCACTCAGTTTCTGAACTGTAGCTTGAACTTTCAACAACATTTGATATATGGGAAGACTTGAGAGATTTTACACATTATCTTATAATAAAGGAGAAAAGAAATAAAGCAGGAGATCCTCTTCCTTCAGTAAAAACCAAAAGAACAGTCTAAGCTCTATTCATGGTACATGAAAGAGAATTCACACAAATAAAATATTATGAACACCACCTCTCTGCCAAAACAATGTTGAAACTTCAGTAGAGGAGTGAATTCAACCATGACATATTTCAGCAGCGCTGGCTGTTTGCACTGTTCCTCATGCCCTGGGTGTTGTGTACTCCCAAACAGCTGGTGCATCCCAGGAACTACTAGCAAACTGACAATGCATCTGTAACGTAATATACTTGTAGCAATATAGCAATGCACTTAGCATTATGAGTACTCTAATGTATTTCTGGTTATTTTATAGTGTATTGCATTTTATGGAGAAAATGATGAAATATTTTGTTTTCCTTGACATAGTTTCTAGATTTGCAAACCCTAAAGCTTCCAGTAGAGTCTGAGAAATTTCCTGTGCTTTGACTCTTTTATAGTCACCTGTACTTAAATGTCCTGCTCTCTTCAGCAGATAAACCTCTAACTTAGGGTCCTCCATTGCAAGAAGCAAAATAAGAACAAAGTTAAAGGAAGTTATATTTGTTGGGTTTTTTTTCACTCTCTGGTTCTTTCTTGCGACTTCAGTGGTAGGCCACGATATCTAGTATTAGGAACCATGTGAATGGAGAATTAAAAAAACCCTGGTCTAGTTGAATATGTCCCTGCTCATTGCAGGGTGGTTGGAATAGATGACCTTTAAAGATCCTTTCCAATCCAAACCATTCTATGATTCTATAAGACAATCTGCTGTCAGAGGTACAGGAGGTAAAAAATCAATTCTGATCTGACAAGAGAATTTTGGATCTTTGAGGAGCTACATGCCACGGGGTTCATCAGTTCTAACACAATTATGAGACATTTCCAGGTTCTCCCTCAGGTGAGGTAGCTGGGGTTCATTCCACTTCTGACAGCCAGGAGTAAGGCTTGTTATCAATTCTCTCCAAATAGTTATCTCAAAGGCCCAGCCTGAATTAGCCTTTGAAGAATTATTTAAGATTATTAAACCAGAATTGAAAATAGAGAAAAAAAATTTTAATATTTTTTAAATGCCAATTTTTTCCACCGGTTATTCAACAATGAATTATAGAATCCAGAGGGAGACAAAGTTGTGAGTTCAGAGTATTTTCCTGTGTTGTGGCTTATGAGAATGTGCAGTGTTCTGCAGCCATGAACTGTTTTTTAAGTTGACAGCATCAGCCTGCAATAGAAGCACAAAAAGAATGGAAGCAG